GAGAGCTTTACCCAATAACATGGCGACCACCATTATGAACAGCTTGTGAAATTAAACCCATCAAGCCTATGCTGCCTCCTCCATATACCAAATCAATATTTTTAAAAACCTTCATGAAAATCCAAAAAATAAAAAAAAAATCAAAATTTTGATATTTAAGTACCAAATTACCCAAGCAAAATGAAGCCTTTTTAACATGGCAACTCAAGTATTACACAAAGGAATATTATGTATTTTATGAAAACAACACAATTTGTAGGTTACTTGAAAAAATAAATAAAGAAAAGTTGATAAAAATCCAATCTTTACCCAAAAAAAAAGGAAAAAAAAATCTCCAAATACTTACAAGAATATGGCAATTCAAGTAATATTATGAATTTTATGAAAACAACACAATTTGTGGGTTACTTGAAAAAAATAAATAAAGAAAAGTTGATAAAAATCCAATCTTTACAAAAAGAAAATATATATATATATATAAAAAAAATCTCCAAATATTTGCAAGAACCAACAATCCATGCCCATTTGCATGTCAAACACACCAAGAAAACCAACCCAAAAGGGGCAAAAAACAAATTAGAATGACAAAAGCATAAAGAAAATAAAGAAAAAAAAAATGAATAAAAATTCATTCTTTCCATAAAGTTCCCAAAACCCATACCCATTTGCATGCCAAGCACACCAAGAGAACCATGAAAAAGACTGGATTTTTATTCACTAAAAACCAAAAGGGCACACAAATTAAAATGACAAAAGCCTAAAAAATAAAGAAAAACTAATAAAATCCTATCTTTCCACAACCATTTTGCATGACAAACACATCAAGAAAACTATGAAAAGGACTCTTATTCTATGCTACCTGGACTCAGGATATGGGACGCGTATCGGGTATGGAGATATGAGCGTCTGACTCGTCGATAGTTTAGAAATCTTGAACATTTTAGGCTAAAATGCCACACCCGGCAACACTCATACCCACACCAGTGTCGACACAACATGACACGGGTATTCTTCCTAAATAGAAGAGTCCCAGTAACATAGCTCTTATTTTCACTAAATCAAAAGAGGAAACACAAATTAAAACAACAAAAGCCTCATAAAAATCCAATCTTTGCAGAAAATCTCCAACTAATTTGGAAGAACCCAACATCCCATACTCATTTTGCATGCCAAAAACACAAAGAAAAAACTACTAAAAAAAAAAAAAACAGGATTTTTATACACTAAAACTAAAAGGGCAACACAAATTAACATAACAAAGATCATAAAAAATCAATAAAATAAAAAAAGAATACCAAAACTTTGCCCAGCTCAATAGCTGCTTCTTTGTAGCTACTTTTCTTGCCTTGGCTGCTCCCACAAAACACACAAATCCTCTTGAATTTAGAAGCTTTTACTTCACTCCCTCTCTCCATTTTTTCAACTGGGTTTTTGTATTTCTTCTTCTTTTTCACTGATCTACGTGAATTTGATCAATTCAAGGCATAAAAATTGAATCTTGATTGTAAAATGTGGCCTTCCCCTGGTGTTTTTACATTGTGGTTCTGCATTATTATATATAGTACTGTGCAGTGGAGTCGCACGTGCGAAAAAAATTTGGAGGTGCAGCTTTGTCTCGTGGCCTGCACGTGTGGGACACCTTTCTTGAAAGGATATTGGATTTGTTTTTTTAAAGTTTTTATTACTATATTTCTTGAATTAATTATTAATGTGTGAAATCTTAAAGCTTGTCAATTGTCATTTTAAGTAGTAGTCAAACAAAAAGAGATTTTTAAGGCAACTTTGGGAGTAGTGTGTTATTATATTTTACAATAATTAGTTTAAGATATTGAATTTTGAATTATGTATTATTTTATAACTAAGTACAACACCCGTGTATTATACGGGTGACTGTTGAAAAAATTATTCTTAAATTTTAAAATTAATGAGGAAAAGTGTTTTAAAATTTAAATATTGTCTACGAAAAATATATGCTATTATATATTTTATAATGACACTTATTATTTGTGCACTCACATGCCTTATATTATAATAATTTTTCTAATTTATACCATAATATATATGTATATATATTAATTAATAGATAATTTCATTTTTCTAATAAATATTATAAACAATTTTATTATTATTATAAAGATAAATATAATTTATTTATTTTGTACATACAATATAGATATCAAATAGAAGCTTATCAAAAGATGATTAATTTGATATATTATATATGTAAACTGATAAGAAGTACAAAATTATCAACTTTTAAAATACATTTACAAATTTGTTCTTGTTTTATAAAAATTGAACTCTTTTCCTTAATTTTTGTCAAAACCATATATTATGTCGACTAAATGGTTAGATAATCATATTTTTTTTGAATAGATATGCATACTTTCAAACTGAAATGCAATAATGTAAAAAACTATATAAACATAATCGAATATGATATTTCACAATTTTGTTATATATGTATGACGGTTTAACTTGACTAATGGTTCATACAGAAATTTCAAATTTATAATTAGATATAGAAAATTTCAGTTTCGCTATGAAGCTATCGGATGTCACGACTTATAGAGCCATCTACACTTATTTACAAATAATGTATTGACATGTATTCTACAATATATATACTTTGGACATGTGTCTACATTAAGTGATAAATGACTTCATAAGAGGATGACACAATAGAATTTCTCTGAAAAATATATATGAAAGTGTGATTTGTGTATGACTCTTCAGATTGTTGCTTGATGGAAATAACATTAAATGATCATGGTATGGGGATAATTAAGTAATTAGGGATCATTCCAAAGAAAGGGCATTCTTTGAAGCTGCTTGTATTGAGACATATAATATATATATATATATATATATATATTTAAAGAAACAATCTGAAGAGTTATATATTGGTGGTTTATTTATGGGAAAATGGTTCATTAGGTCCATGTAATGGTGGTTTATTTTGGCAAATGGCACCAAATTTTTTTTTCCTTTTTTTTCAATAAGGACAAGCAATATAGTTTTTGTTGAATATATTTATCAATCCCCTCACAGTAATGCACCCCTACACACGGTGGGCACATGTTGCCCACCGTTTATATGACATGCACACATTGATGATGTATTGCAAAAACAAATCCCACCAAATGGATTTAGCGAGAAAAAATTACACTATTTATGACTGGATTATAAATTTGAAGTCCTGAATAATTGCAACTTTATATGTGTGATAATTAATTTGGATGACTTTGGTACAATTTTATTTATTATAATTGATTTTATTAATGTTCAATTCTTTTATGTCAACTACATATTAAACAATATTGAAAATTTTATATTCTTTTTTGAATCTTCTCATATTGTTGAGTCTATTAACCATCACTTTAGCAATAAGCCTATACACTATAGAACATACACTAATGGGACTAAATTCAGCAACTAGCAAGAGAACTTAAACACTACAGAATATAAACTAATATTTGATGGCTAATGGGTCTATTAGCCATCACTTTGCAATTAGCCATCACTTTAGCAATAAGCCTCTTGTGTTGTCTGCTTGCATTTCTAAGTCTCAATCTGCTTTTGTGCCCGGTAGATAAATTTTGGACAATGTTATAATTGCTAATGAATGCATTCACTTTATAAATAGCAAGAGAAAAGGTAAAATGAACTATATGGCTGTGAAACTTGATATGGTAAAAGCATATGACATGGTGGAATGGGGTTTTATTGCTAGGATTTGTAGGAAAATGGGTTTTTACTCTACCTTTATTTCTTGGATATTGGCTTGTGTGTGTTCAGCTTCATACTCTTTTAATATTGATGGGTCTCCTTTGCGTTTTGTTCTTCTTTCTAGAGGATTAAGACAAGGAGATCCCCTGTCTCCTTATCTGTTCATCTTGGTTTCAGAAGCTTTTTCTTCTTTGATTCATCAAGCTTGTATTTATGGGGAATTTCAAGGTCTTAGGATTGGTCCTCATGCTCCTAGTATCTCTCATCTTTTCTTTGTTGATGATTCCTTGTTGTTTTGTAAGGCAGATATCCACCATGCTAATCTGCTGGTTTCTATTTTGGATAAGTATGGGAATGACTCTGGTCAGCTGGTTAATTTTGATAAGTCTTCCATATTTTTTTCTAAGAACATGCAAGAGGATAAGTGTAGCAATATTTGTTATGCTCTGGCTGGGATCTCTAGAGTATCTTCTTCTAAATATCCCGGTCTTCCTTTAGGTATTGGTAGGAATAAGAGAGAGAGACTTTTAATTTCTTATGTAAGTGTGTTCAGAATAGGATTAAGAGCTGGAAGCATAAGTTTTTGAGTGAGAGTAGTAAGGAGGTGTTGATTAAAGAAGTATTGAACGCCCGTCCCACTTATATTATGTCTTGTTTCAAAGTTCCAGTGTCTTATTAAAAAGTTGTGTCAGATTATTGCAGATTTTTGGTGGGGCTTTAATGACAGTGGG